GGGGTTTTAGAATTACTTCTCTGTTACCTTTTCTGTGGGAACTGGCATAACATTGTCGAGAGCTGCTAATAAATCTCTTCATTCATTCACTTTATTGCTTTATTTATTATTTATGTAATTGCAGAATCCCTTACAAAGACAAGCCTGCAAGCAGATGAAAATTTAGATTCCTGTTTCTTCCCCTCAAGCCAGATGCAGCACAGAGGCCTCTGACGTTCTGCAGCACTGAGGACGTGTCTTCTCTTGCTAGTCACAATTTTCTTCCTGCCACATCCAGAGCAATTAGTGGTTTTCTCTGGCATCTGAAGGTGTGCTGACTAATAACTAATACTGAACTAAACTGTTTTCTGTCTGGTATCCAGAAAACTAGTTAGACAAGTCCTCAGTTACAAAACCTGTTTTTAACATCATAAGAGGCACACCAGGGTGATGATTAGTGCTGCTGTCTCAGAGCTCTTGAGTCCTGCCTTCACAACAAGGGTAGTCCCTTCTGTGATGTGTCTGTATGACTTCCCTGTAGCATCTTCGGTTTTTGCTAAATACTCTGCATTTCTTCCATATTGGTTAGTTACTTTTGATCTAAATTATTCTCTCAATAATCCTCAGTATGGTTGTAAGTGCACAGCTATTGGCTTTTGCAAAACTCAGCACTATGGTCCTCATAGCATCATGAGAGCAGTGAGGCCAGTGCACTCCTTCTTAAAAAGGTAGCACTGGAAGAGCCATTTGCCATTTCCCACATCACAAGACCATAACATCTACAGTATAGAGTTCGTAAGCAGCGACACATGGTCCATGCAGGAACGGCTGATGTGTGCTGATAAAACACTGATCACCTCCAAATATTTAAATGAGTCTGGTTGTACAGTATTTAAACTAGAACAGCTATAAAGTGCTACTGTATATCAGAAAAGCCTCAAGAAGGTTGTCTTTTTGCATCAGGCTTCCTGTGCTCAGTTTTCAACAGGCACGTGCAGTTTTCCGACATCACAAGCTGTTTAGCTGTTTGTTTTGTGTCCTTTTTTTATTTAATGGCACAGATGCAAATCCTCATTTACTGTGCAATTACTGCCCCTCTTTTCAAAACCACTGGGAGCTAATTGCTGGTCCTGAAGCTTTAATGAATTTCTCACTTGTTTTCAAGACTCTTAGGGGACCCACAGCTTTGCGTCATAATGGCCATTTCTTTCCATAAATCAGAAGCTGGGCTGCGTATATCAGTGACCCCATCACGGCATGGATGGAATCCAGATGTTACAATTCTGCGTCCACCACTCCTCTGCCCCCCCCCTCCTCCATGAGAGCATGTTTAGCTTTTCATTTCCTTTTTTGGTGAAAAAATCTAAAGGTTCTGAAAACCCCCAACTGGAAAGTGTATCCAGGGGTCTGTTTGTTGTAAGCTGGAGTGTGTTTTATCTAACTCCGCTCCCAAGCCCTGAGAACAGACAAGCGCTCAACCCAAGAAACCTTGGATGTCTTCTGCCTGGACTGGATGTTTCAGGTTTATTCATGTCAATTTGAGAGACTCAAGGGAAATCGGGCTTGTTTTGTTTAGGATACAATTACAAGTCTTCGGCTCAGATATATCCTCTTGACTCCCTGCGACAAGGCCAAGGTGTGTAAGTGAGTAAAAGACCAGAGACCACCGCAGGGAGAAAATCATTAAAAAGTGCCAAGATAAATCAAAAGGTTTTCATCCATGGTCACAGAGTATGTCTCACTGGATTTCCTTCTTGCCCAATACTTATTTAGGGTTTCTACTGCCCTAATTGATCTAGATTAGAACTAATTTTTAGTTCTACATCAAATATTTTCTTTTTTTTCCCACCCACTTTATTTGGAATTAACAGTTATGACTTGGCATTACAGCTACAAACCCTGTGCCTGACAGTTAAAATGAGCACTAGCTACACCAACAGGTAAGTTCCTTCAACACGCCTCCATCTCAGAGTCTTTCACCATCTGGCATGCTCAGAGCCCTGCAGTGTCTTATGGGAGAATTAGCAACTGAGAGAAGGAGCAACGTGTGTCTTAAGGACATCACTGCGAATGAGCACCCACCCAGCAAGTCAAAGGAGAAGCCGATACACCGAAACCTGAGAGAACCCTGTCTAACAGCCTGTCTCCTTAACCTGGTGCTGTTCAGCCAGGAGTGTGGAATTCCAGTCACTCACCTGGCCAGCTGGTGACATCTTGACCACAAGCCTCAGCCTGCACTCGTGAACACTTTTCCTAGCTGAGCCCCTACAATCTATTTAACTGTTCTGTTTTGAAACCTTGGCTTTCGAAACACTATTTAGGAGAATCGTTGCCAAGACATTTAGACAACATCTCTGTTCTGCATGTAATCCTTAGCTTAATAAATAGTTGCCTCCCTATAGCTGTCTAAACAACTCTTAATAGTTTACCCATTAAAGACACTCAGGCATGGGTAGGAATTCCACTATATCAAACACTCCTTTAATAATCATCCTTTTAGTTGATCATGGGACCAAGCTGCAGAAAATCCTGGTCACTAAAACAGAATTCCTGAAACCCAGAAGCTAGTACAATGTTCGTGTACATTTTTTTCCATGTCTAAATTTTATTGGATCCAAGAAAAGGCACGACTTAAATCGAGCAAATTCTTCTCTTTCAATAATCCTCAGTACTTAAAAGCTTTCTTTTAATTAATACCACAGGACCAGATACACTGAAAAACACAGCTTTACTGAATGTCAGCCAGTTCTGTTTGCATTCCTTCAGCTGATGTATCTGTTCTCCAAGGCAGTAGGGGGATCTCAGCCTAGCAGGGCAAATACTTGTCAAACTTGGTAGAACAAGCTGTTTATCCTTGCTTGCGCAAATACCAAAGCAACACATGTACTGTATGAGTAAGTTTTTAAATGGAGATCAATTCATTCAACGTGTAAATAAAACCAGTCAATCAGCAACTTGTTGCCACTATATTTGTGAGGATGAGGGGGTTCCTTGCCCTTTAAAAATATTAACCATCCAAAAATGTATGGAAAATAAAGGCTGTATGTTGATATTTTTATTGTGCTACAGAGTCCATAATTAAATGACATCATGTGATAAATACATTCACAGATGATCATGGCTTATATCACAATTCTTTATTTTTAGTTTGTGGAAATTGCTGTGTATTTGTAAGACCTTTTCAAATCTCTAAGACAGAAATTGCCAAACCAGGTCCTGATGATCCCTAGCTTTGAAAGCAACCATTAAACCGTCAGCTTCTAAATACCGAACAATGTCATTGTAAGCGTTTTAACAGAGGATTGGTTCAACGAAGAACACAAGGACATACGAAAGTTTGCAAATGAGGAGGCCATTTTTACCATCTAGACTGTTATTTATTGGGTTCTTGAAGGAACCTAGAGCCCGAGAAAGAAAAATTGCTTCAGTGATTGAATGATGTGGAATCTTTAGTAAATCCAGATTGAGCAGGTGGAGTGTAGCCAAGAGTCTGGGGTTAACACCCCTACACCTACTAACAGTGCCATTGGGGTCTTTAATGACCTAATAATCCAGTATAACCCAATGGCGGGCACCTCCTACAACAGCGTCCTCCGTCAACTTCCTGTGGCTTTGGATTGGAAATTCTGGCCCAGGGGGAGGAGCAACACCTACTGGTCCACCAGCACTACTTACAGCAATATCCTGATTTTCTGTAGCCCTGACCAGCAGTGCAGAAGGTAGAAACACACCTGTCTCATCCTTCCCTTTCTAAACACACGTTGGCTGGCTCTTAAAATGCTAGCCTTTTAAGTATTCTTCAAATTCAGCTCCTGACTTTGCTAAATCGCTTCCTGACTTTGCTAGTAAGAGAATAAGACTGATCAATGCATTCCCAGTTTGGCTGTGCACTTTAGAGAGTCGAGTACTCTTCAGACAAATTAAGCGATCATTAACTTACAAATGTTCTCCATCTTTAGATGGTGTAGGTTTATGTATGAGATCAGATTTGGACTCTTATGAGATACAGCAAAAGAGACCCATTATCATAAACTTTAGTGTGGGGCCTTTTTTTGTGTATAAATCAATACAGAGTAAAAACCAAAAAAAACTTTTCAGTTTTAATTTATTTATAGAAGCCTTTTTTAAAACAAAACATATAAATGAACCTTTCAGCACAATACTTTTTTTCATGTTCATGCTCTGAGAATTTTAACAAGGTTTACAAGCAAAATAAAGCATAACTTGATCCACTCTGACTTGCCCGCATCAAAGCTCTTTTTAAAATAGTGGAATATAAATTTGCATAGGTGAACAACTAAGGATAAAAATACAAAAATATAAAAAATGAACAAAATAATCAACATGCATACCACTCAATCTCTTGAACACAGATTGCAAAAGAGTCCTGGGACTAGCCCATTTCTTTCTCATAATAATGTTTATAAAGCAAAAGAAGCAATTATTATAAAGATTATATATAAAGAAAAACTACACATTTAGCTGAACTACTTCTCATCAGTGGTAACACTTTGAACTTTGAACCTTCAGTAAAAAACAATATTATTGTAACTAATATTTTTAATAGAATCAGTGGTTATGTGATATAAAAGATTTTGATACCATGTATATGTACTGTGCTTGTATGGCTTGTATGAGTGTGGGGTCTATGCATCAAGAACTTTTATTAGTATCATAATGTGCATACTCTGCATTTCATAGCTGATGAATTATAAACCACAACAAAAAAGTATTTAAAACAGGGAGGAAAAAAATCTCAACTATTTAAAACATGTTTTCACTAGATGTATGTGTAGCATTCTGTGGTTGATTTTTAAAAATAGAGTCTACCTAGAACAGCAGTATTGCTGTGACAATCCTGTGGGATTATGTGTACGCAGAATGCTGTACAAGTGGAAAACAGACCTATCAGGTTGCATTTCAAACTTTAATTCACTTCTCAGGGTGAATTAAGAACCAGTTCTGAAAAAGTACGTCAATGTGCTTCAAAATGGTCGCTCCTGAAGGTAGTTATTGCTGTGGTAGAAACGCTGGAACCTAAAAGAAGAAAATGTTTTTTTTTTATTTTAACCATAAAAAACCTATAGATCAAGCTTTGAAACCATTTCCTTTCCACTGGCACTTCACATGTAGAGTGAGAAAAACATTTAAAGGTAAGGCACTGTGGTGAAAGTACATCTTTGGCGTTTCTTGGTTTGTGACCATTATCCTCACAGATTTTTTTTTTTGGTTTAACGTTTAACAGTTTATCCGTCAGTCCATTCGCTCTCCGAACTTGCCCACCGTTGTTCCACTGTGCATCCCAAAGCCCGCATTGTAGTTTATGTAGTTAGTGAATGACGTTCGGTCTCCAGGGCGCCCGCCGGAGCCTGTGGTTTATAAATCGCTGTTGCAGTCGCGGCACAAGATCTCGTCGTTCTCCGGGAAGAAGCCTTTCCCCACAAGCGAGACGGAGCACCGCGAGCACGTGAAGCAGGTCTGGTGCCACTGCCGCTCCTCAAATGAGATGTATTTCCCCCCGCCGAAACCTGGGGCAGGGGAAAAAAAAGGAACAGGAGCGCTTCAGGATCGAGCCGCAGAGCTGCGTCGACGTAGAGGCGGTTAAGGAACTGGCACGTTCCACGCAAGTGAATGTCAGGCCCTCGGATTTCCATGCATTTGGACACTCCTTCTCACTTTCTTTGCTCCCTGCCTGCACACCCTTTCTCTCTCTACCTCATTCCTGTTGTGTTCATTCTCCATCCATCCATTTTCTAACCGCCTCATACAGTTCAAGGTCTCAGGGGAGCTGGAGCCTATCCCAGCAAGCAACGGGTGCAAGGCGGGGTACGCTCTGGACAGGACTCCACTGCAGGGCACACACAAACCCCACACTCACACCAGAGCCACTTTTCCCAGAAGCCAATTAACCTACCAGTATGCTTTTGGACTGTGGGAAGAAACCTATACGACAACGGGGAAAACATGCAAACTTAGACAAACTCACGAGAGGAAATAAAAGGTTTTCAAGGCAAATTCTCGCAATGGAAAATATGTATCCTTTGCCGACTGCAAGCCTTAAGGTTGCATGCAAATTCACATGGCTATCTTGTATGTACTGGTAGTGACGACAGGGTGCCAGGGCACAGCTGGCTGGGCAGGAGGTACCTGTAATGGGTTTGGTGCAGGCCTCACACTTCTTGGCGTAGAGATTGCCGAAGCACTTGAGACAGAAGGGGCTGTCGTCGCGAGAGGTGAAGTGCTGACCAGCCAGCTGGGCTTTGCATCCGGTGCACACAAAGCATTCCTTGTGCCATGGCTCATCCCGATAGGTCACTCCGCCTTTAGCTAGTGTCTGTGCAGGAAAAACAACCCGGTCATTTCTTTTCGAAAAGAAACCTGTATCTGCTTTTCAGTTCCACTTTTACATTGATGACTGTACGCTTAACCACAAATGTTTGGTTGATGAGTGTGTCTTCTGTCGTTAGTGGCTACAAAATGTGTTTTTCATGTTCTCTAGTACTGTGTTGTTATAATGATGTACTGTGCATTGGTATATAATGATTTTATACCGATCTATCCTGATTTGAGTCTTGATTTTGATTGGAGTTTTGACTGTATCGAAGGAAGCAACACTTCTCTTTAAGAGGTTTTGACTGATAAACCTCCCCCCATCTCTCATGAAATATGATCTTATGCAAATAATTGCTAAAGATCTCTCAGATGATAACTATTTTTAATTTCTCCAGGAGGCTGCTTGCCTTTGAAATATGTAGGGGCTTGGTACTTTGTTGTCTCTATGTGTAAAGCCTCAAATCTTCCTCAGAATGTCTGCTTCTCCCTAATCACCATGAAAATCAAGGGAAATGGGGAGGGGTAATATGAAAATTAGTTATGTGTGTGGCTCACTTGGATTCTCTCTTAGAAACCTTATGTGGATCTATATTCATATATAGTAATCTGTGTATGGTGTATGTTCCACCCCACCCAGAAACTGAGAATCAGTTAATTAAATCTGTGTTTACATAAGTAAGCAGGGTTTAGTTTCACGTAAATATCAAGGCAGTCTTGTCGGGACCATAGTTTCACCAGCTTTTGCCCCATGCAAACTGCCCTAATGTCTCTAGTGCACATGACCCTATATTATTGTATGCTTAGCCAACATTCCATCAAATATCACTTCATAATGGGTTCAGACAGAAAGCACAGAGCCAAACTTTCACTTGTCAGATCCTATAAATCTCATCAGTAAGGGAAAAAATAATAATAACAACCATGACCAGCTGAAGTCCCTGTTGAACAGCGTACACCCTGAATGTATGCAGAACAAACCTCTCTGTTGCCAAGGAGCCTTTGGTGTACAGAACTGTCCTGCACTAGATCTGTCCCTTGGGTTCCATTCTTGCCACTGTCACCAGTATGTCTTTTAAAAGCAACTGACACTTAAATGTTCACAAATATTGCGACCTCTCCACTGAGGCAGTGGATGGTTCCAAATGGCCTTGCAGACCAAAATAAAAGTCACAGCCATGAAAACGTTTAATTTTTTGGGTGTGGATTACGTGGCCCTGTGGCCGCTGTCTCTATTCACATCTCTTGTCTGTCTCTCAGCCCGGGTCTTGCAGAGCCCTGAAGGTGGTCTCTCAGATGATAACTATTTTAAATTTCTCCAGGGGGCTGCTTGCCTGACCCAGAAGGCGGTCTGACACATTTCTGATGAGTTTGGTTAATATGGAGCCCAGCTCTCTGGGACTGGGAGCTGGCCAGCCCTGGAATAAATCAGAGCTTCTCACCAAGGGAGATGATGAGTGTTACCTGCAGGCGAGGAGTGACACAGTAATCAACCTGCCTGCCTGCCTGCCTGCCTGCCTGCCTGTCTGTCTGTCTGTCCGTCCGTCCGTCTCTGGCGCAGCGTACCTGCTTACAGCGCGTGCACCGTGGGGCGAACTTGCTCTCGTAACAGGGCACGCAGTAGTAATCCTCTTTGTCCGGGATGAAAGCCTTCGATCCGATGGGCTGCTCGCAGCTGTGGCAGATAAAGCAGCTCTCGTGCCAGGTGTTGCCTCCGTACTCCAGCTTTCGCGTTCCTGAGGGAGAGGCGTGAGGGAGAGGTAGGTCGCAGCTGTGGGAGACCCATGGTTTTTTGTGACGAGATTTGATTTGAGACCCTGTATTTAAATGGCCTTGTCCATATATGTAGCTTTTAAAGACTGTGATTGCTGGTACCTTGCCATGCACAGCAGCAAAACATCCTTTCCTACAAAGTGGGAAAACATGACTGATACCCACCGCCGTAATGATGACAGATGTGCTCACAGCTGTATTGTGTTTTAGTAATTTCTGTATGACATTGCACGGCTGATAGCAGCACTCCTCAGCACTGTGGTCATTTCAAAAGGCCAAATCTCACTTTGCTAAATACATTTCCTATTAACTTTTTAACTTATTACTGCATCCTCTGATTGGGAAGATTTAAAAGGACAAGATAAGACTACGGCACTACCCACAGTACTTATACTGGAATACTGGTCTGGCTCTAGCCTCTGCTCCTGTGTAGCTGTTCACATTCTGATGTCTATCAATGCACAAATACAGAATTCTTAATCAATTGCTAGGATCATGCAGCACCTGCCACAATACGGCACTGCTTCCATCTCTCTCCCTGTAGCTTTAGGTTGTTTTTTTGTTCCCCAACACGATGTGGCCTCCTTCTATGTCACACTCTCCAGCTTGTCTTACAAAGCCCCTTTGTGAAGGCTCATGCATGTCATATTTGTAATTAATCAGAGACCCATGTGGAATGCTTTTGAATTTAGATAAGTGCACTAGAACCCAGAGGAACTAAATACAGTAACATAGCTGACATAGAAACGGTTATGATTTTTGATAGTTCCGGCTAAAACGTTAAGTTGCTGTTAGACTGCTTAAGACTAACAGGATAAGTGGTGACCTTCTACCACTTATCCTGTTTAGTCTTTAGCAGTCCAACATGTCTGTTTAGAACTAAAAAGTCTTTATTAAAGCATTACGAATGCAATTGAAGGCTGAACACTTGCATTGAATGAGCCAAAGCCAAAGTGTGGGTTATCACTGGCTGCTGGGGTTTGGGATTGACTGGAGTGCTAAAAGGATTTGCTCTTTACACTCTGAATTCCAGACCATGTTAAACCATTCTGAATTGCTGATCCAATTGGCATGAAGATGTGAATGCACCTGCGCTTTTCTGCCTGTCAGTATTTCAGTGTCTTCATACCTTTTTCCACCTACACAAAAATGCATCTCCTCCTGTCTCCTAGAAAACGTAAAGAACTTACTGCAGTTTCGTACAAATGGGTGTGTGTACCGATGAATCACTTTTGGTTTATGAGTGTGGAGATAAAATTGCCTTAAGGATACATACAGAAGAAATCATTTGTTAAAGTTTCACGAGAATGTGCAGTTTCTACTTCTAGAAAAAAAAAGACAAACCTTCTGCAAACTCCTATCGTACTGTTTTACAGTGTGCTGCTCAAATAGTTTATAGCGTAATCCACTGTCATCAGCTCCTGGCTGGCTACCAGAGGTAGGATTTAGCTGCGAGACAGTCATACAAGCAAACCAACAATTACGTTGTCACATCCAGCATGAGAAATGTTTATTAACTCTTCATCTCCCTCAGCGCATGTAACTCCACAGCAACACTTCTTTTCCCAGCTCTCGTCAAGCCCAGCCTTCTCTGAGGTCTCGGATAAGTGGAGCTCTTTTAAAAGTATGGTGGCTTTAAAAGGAGATGTCAATTAAAGACTGCACTGCTCAAATCAGTGACGTTCAGGAAGGGCTCCTAGCTCTGGTGTACAGTACACGCTAGCAAGGACAATACTATTAGTTGAAAGCCGCAGAGCACTAAACATTTACAAAAACAATTTTCTGGAGTGAAATTGTGTTTTAACAGATCAGATTGAAGGTCTGAAAGATTTCTTGGGTTCTTTCATGTTCTGTGAGACTCCACAATCATGCCCTGCTGGTTCTACAAGCTTTCAGTAGGACTGAGATCAGAGAGCTGTTCTGGCCAGAAAAGGTGATGGAAATCAGTCTCAGGTGGCTCAAGGCAACAACACATTGTTACTAAGGGAGTCTATACATTTGACTGGGAGTTTCCTAATATTTAAAGGGGGACTGCAACGCTATTTTTATATTTCAGGGTTGCATCACAAAATTTCCAAGTATGTGCAGCGCCATAATGGTGTCTTTGTCTGCGATTCAGAACGAAGCGACTAAACCTCCAGTGACTCCACTGTTCTAGATCTATTACATTGTAAACCGGCAGGCTTATGAATACATCTCTTTTAATCCAACAGAAATATCGCTCCTGACTATGAGATGCTTTTGCTGACAAAAACGATGTACTTGTTATCTCTGCGTGCATATCACATTATGCACATTATTATATCATGCAGTGAAATTTTTGCTGCACAACCTCTACTTATTCGCTTGCGTATTGTATTACATTCATCATTACAGTGACTAGTGAGCAGGAAGGGCTGCATCACATCACAATTCTCACAAACTCTCGGTCACACCCATGGGACAAAAATGGTGATCATACAGTACTTTTGCTTGATTCGGAATTGGCAAAACCTTGCGGTACATTCAATTTATTTTGTTGCCAAGATGGAACAGCCGGTTAGAGAAATTGGGACTGCAGCTCCCCTTTGAGCCAGCAACATTCCGGCCATTAAAACATTATGCCTAGCTATTCCTGAAATGTTACAGTTAATGTGAAATCGCCAAGGAACCCAACACGATCTCATTATGCAGATCGTTACTCCAGTTAAGGGGGCAGTTTTAATTTGATGGAGAGCTCAGCCGCACAGGACGCTGGCAGACCTTGGACGGACAAGAGCCAGGACCCGCGCAGGGAAGACCTGCTCTGAACAGGCGCGACGCACCTGGCATGACCGTCTTGTTGCAGGCGACGCACTTGGAGGAGAACTCATTGCAGTAGCAGTCGTTGCACAGCAGCGCCTCCTCCTGGCTGGTGAAGGGCTCGTCGGCCAGCGAGCGGTCGCAGCGGAAGCAGCGGAAGCAGTGCTCGTGGTAATGCCGGTCCTCGTAAAACAGCTCCTGAGGGCGACAGAAGACGGAGCCGCTGAGCCGCCGGGTCTTCACTTTTTCAACCTTTCACGGTACTCGTTTTCAACTGGTGTGCTGCGGGACCTTCTCAAATAGGCCATTCTCCCAGTTTTGGGTCAACGTGAAACAAACATTTTACTATCTTAATGTTCAGCTCCAACCAAACTTGCAACACATGAAAATGAATCAAATAACTTAAAGTGAGGTAGTTGGCCTTTCCATCCTAAAACACCCACCCATCCATTTTCTAACCTCTGAATCGACTGCAGAGTCACCGGTGAGCTGGAGCCTAACCTGCGCACACTCACACCAACGGCCAGTTTTCCCAGAAGCCAATTAACCTACCAGCATGTCTTTCGACTGTGGGAGGAAGCTTGTAAAAACATGGGGAGAACATACAAACTCCATGCAGAAAGCACCCCAGGAACTGAACAAAGGGCACCAGTGCTGTGAGGCAACAATGCTAACTACTACTACGCCACTGTTCTAGATGAGAGCCGTTCTAGATGCGTGTGACCGACTGACAAAATTGAGATACGGTGACAGGATATACTGCAACTCTATAAACGAGCAGAGATTGCATGCTTTTATGGTTCACTTTAATGACTTACTGTCTGATAAGCTTCATGAGTTTCTGTTAGGCTAAGCTTGCATTTCCAGTAGCCACACCTGTCAAGGCTCAAAGCCTCATATTTCAGCATCTCATACCCTTGCAAATGCCACCTCCCTTCTACAAATGACTATGACTAGATACACGATCCATTCAGTTGACTTTCTTCTGATTCACCTTAAAAAGATGTTAAAAGAAAAAGAGGATTTTGCTGGATTATGGAAGGGTTGCCCAGTGTTGCTGAAGTGTGAAATGTGGTACCATTATCCTACAGTCTCTGGCCATGCTCTTGCTTCGGTGAACCTTTCCACCACTGGTGTTCGTTAAAACCAACAGGAGAGAGCGCTTCTCACTAAAACTAGACTCACAGATGGCCCTTTCCACAGTGCCTTCCTGGATCAAAGGCCCTGTTCACACCAGAAGGCCCAGGACTCCCACTAACCTGGTTATTTGCTATTTACTTGGCATTTTGCTCTGATCCATTGAATTTAAATTATGCATTGGTTCAATTATGTAATAAAAATTATACTTCTGAAAACACTGTTACAGATATGAAGTCTGAAGGTTGCCTGGGCTGAGTACTGCATGTGGAACAGATTTAGGGCTGTGAATAGAAGTTGTTGAACAGATAATAAAAGCAACTGTGCATTTGGCAGGAGATAAACATGAATCAATCTGATCCCAATTGGTTGTCTGCACTGTGTTGCACACCTCTCTAGTAAGACCTTGACCTCTTATGTAAATAAATGTGAGGATCATGAGCAGCCATTTTCAGTGGAAAAAAGAGGGTATGCTGTGGAATTACACTAATTGTCTCATTAAAATCTGTTTTGTTGCAGAAAAGGTTGGAAACTTATTCTATCATTCTGACATTTTTTAATTATTCCGCTATGCAATATACATTTCTGCACTGTTCATATTTTGCAGTTCATGGACTGTTTTGCATGTAAGCTACTGTGGCCTTAGCTAAAATTAAAAAATGATAATCATACAATCATAGTCTCTTTTCTGTACAAAAAACCTTACCCAGATTCTGCATTTTTGTAACATGCAGTTCAAAACTTTTTGCTTCACGGCCAGCAAAATATTACCCGTTGAAATGGCAGTAGTTCAGATCTAGCAATGCCGGTAAGGAAAAGAGGAAAGAAAATGATATTCTTCACCCTTTAACTTTGAGTGCTAGAAAGTGCTTCAAATCTGAAGTCAGAGAAAATGGAGGAAGTTTGGAGTGGGACACAACAGCCTTGAAAAGCATCCTGTTATTGTGCCATTTATACTATAACCTTTAAAACTGTGTGCAAACATGATTATTAAAATAAAAAATAGCAGCGAGTGGAACCCGGATACAATGAATGACAATGGGAAATAAAACCTGTGAGACTATGGTAAACTGATACAGTTCAAATAACAGCTGTTTATGTTAAAACAATACGTGGTGTGGTTCATTCCAAAAAGGAACTTTTATTTCCAACACTGAGAGACTCAGTTCCCACATGCTCAGCTATGGAAACACTGGGCACATGAAAGAGCTCAAGAATAGCGTATGAAAAGGAACACACACTACAGAACAAAAATAACGACACACAAGCTCTCTGCGAATTATTGACACTTGTGGAGTCAGGCTGAATAAACCGCTGTTTGAATTGGCCACCATCTCTCAGACAATAAACATTGTGCTCTACGATCGCCCCTGCAGCACTGCCTGTCCCATTAGTGGAGTTGTTTTATTTCACAACACATGACCTAGACATATTATTTTTTCTTGAACCTTTAATGAGAAACTAATGCACTTGGTCAAGCACTGAATGGATCTCATTCCAAGATGTTACACAAAGTCTGTTGACAAGAAGCAGTTACAGCTTAGCAAAGACTTATCTTACACTGAACTGACTGCTCAATTTATCTTAATTGCCATAATGTGACCTCTGGGTTACCAAGAAGGCAAAACAGAAGAGAATTCAGGAAAACCAGCTCACTTCTGATCTGTGAAGAGAGGGGAGACTTACTTCACATAGTCAGTAATGAAAAAGAAATGAAATACTTTTGCCAAAGCTCAGTTATGTTGCTTTCTGACACGTTGTTGCAACTTGTCAAGTTGGATGTTGGTTTTAAACCACTCTCATCACACATCAGAGTATCTATGTAGATAAAGGGACAAGGCCACTATACCAATTAACTGGCTCCATGACACCAAGGAGATGGAATAATTCTGACAGTCCAGGAGAGAGATGTTATAAACTAAGTCTACTGTTACATAAGAAAGGCTACAAGCAAGAGGAGGCCATCAGATTCTGTCTAAATACTCCACTTGGCATTATATATCCTTGCTTTACCTCCTTTCACCTGTATGCATAGATCCTGAAACCAGGAATCATTCCTGTTCTTCTTTGTATTCTAAACAATTTAATCTTTGTCGTGGTATGATGACTAAAACCTGAACAAATCCTGATGACAATGTTTGCTGTGGATCTGTGGGGTGAAACTGGTTGCGAAGATGATGAAGCTTCAGTCCTTTCTTACTGTCGAGAGGGGTACCAGGACGAGTGCAATCACTAACACTACCACATCTTAACATGGTCTAACAGATGAGAATAATAGCTGGGTGACCTGTAACCAGCACTCACCACCTCAAGTGTCCGTTGCAACCTTTGGTCAAGGAATTTTGGTAAAACACATCATTGTAGTCCTTCCAGAGGGCTTGGGTGTGCGTCATGACAACACATTAAATGAAATTTAATCTGAGCTCTTGAGCTCTTGTGTCACCAATTAAGATTCAATGCTGATAAAAAAAAACTATTTCTGTAAAATACTATTATTGGAGAGGCTTTGAGGCAGCTACTGCCTCTTGGTACAGACAAGACTAACACAAGAGTTTGGTTCCAGAAACCATCCCACAAGCTGAATCTTACGTCAGCCAGGATTCACTTTGAGCTATAGTATATACACATTTATCATTTTGTAACAAGATGGTAGTAGGTTCCTGTCTTGAAGATATTCTGTCATATAATGTGTATTGTACACTGCAATAGACTGAAGAGAAGAGAAGGATTCAATAGAACCCATTAAAGAGTGCTTAAGGAAGCACAATTGAATTCAATAATATACAGCAATAAGTAGTTCCAAATTATTTATATGTATCAAAATTGTATACATAATTGTAAAGATTTACCCAAATCTTAATTTAGAAATAAATTTAGAGCATTTTTATGTCAAGTTAAATTTGCATAACCAGGGGAGTGTCAGTATAGGCAGAAGGACCAATGGTCTTCTTTTGTGTCATCAGTGCCCATAGCTCATACCAAAACTGAAGAACCACATCCCAAAACTTTTTTCCATTTCCATTCCGACATGAGATGTATAAACAGAATCACAAAATCCCGTTTAGCTCTATCAGCCCTAAGCCAGGGTCTTTAGTCTTGCCCTGGCACCCGGTATTGTTATGAACTGCAAAGGAACAGGGAGAAGCTTATTTCATGCTGAAAAGAAGAAGCGGCACAACGTTTCGGCTGCAGAGGACCCGGGGGCAGGTGTCTCACCCTGGCGTCGTGGCCGATCAGCTCCTTGCACTCATCGCAGGTGTTGGCGAACAGGCTGTCGTAGCAGGGGATGCAGTAGGGGTTGTCCTCCGCCTGGATGTACTTCCGGCCATACAGCGACTCCTTGCAGTTGTCGCAGTCGAAACGCTCACTCATGGTGTCTTCCGAGTCCAAACCTGCTGGAACAAGTTCACCAGAAAGGGCTTGATATTGGAGAGAATCGAGAGCAGGGAGTGGGAGTGAGATGTTGTGTTGACAGGGCCTGTATCATCCTCATCTCAGCCTAGTCTACTTCGTCCCCACACTGTTTAACCAACCAAGAAAACGCATTTACCACTTTTAATGTCACTTACTACTAACAAACCAGAAGCGCACACACACACACAACACATCCTGTAAATTATGAGATTGTAATATATCGAAATTCTATGCCTTGTAGAAAACATCTTGGTAGTGGTCTTAACTCAGTGTAGGTTTTGATTGCATTTTAATAAGATTTTGAAATGTCTTTCTAATATGATATTGCACTGATGATGTCTTTTCTCTCTATAAAATACCACATTATGTATTTCTCCAGATAATATATTACACTTAAAAGTTGCTTGGACCAAGCGGCCAAACATCTAAATGAATAATAATCGTTAACATCCATTAACACCAGTTGCCACAAAGGACATGAACTAAAAGTGACAGTGACAGTTCCATAAAGACAGAAAACAAATAGGTCAATAAAACCGGCATAAAAACATGGATCGATATTACATTTGTTTAACAATAACTTTTTTTAAAATAAAACTGCTATAAAATCTGTGGTGTTATCACACCCTTTCTTCACTGTTTATTTTGCAGATAATATTGGTCTTCTGACTCTTTCACGCACAACCCAGCTGAGAGATTTTGTGGTGCCCTGGAATGACTTGGACATTCCAGCCTGAAGGTGGCAGTACTGCTGCTGTATTTCAAAGTACTCACAGACTAAGTGAACTTTCGCTCTAGTTTGAGAATTGTCTGATTTTCTAAACGTAACTACAAAAACCAAACTGAGGTTTTGTGCATACAGCAGTAGTGCTAGGCTCACTTCAGGAACAAATAAAGGAACAAAAAGTTTTCAAATATTTTTTTTCTGAATTTCATTTTAAGAAGGAAAGACTTGGCTTTGTACTTAAAAGCTTTTTTAGTTGCCTGTGCTCTGTTAAATCAGCTGGTTTCTGAAATAAAGTCAGAGAGGAAGTTTAGGAATATGCAGCAACAACAAAGGTCAGTTTTGTCTTTAACAGAAAATCTTGAAAATTTCCTGACTAGAATATTCCACACCAAAATCAGGCATAAACAGGATTTGAAAACATGTAGACTCCACCTAGAGTCTGGAGTTTATGGTGTATCAGCGATGAGTGCAAGTTATTTGTACTACAGGATTAAAAATATAACTACTACGAAGATCCTTCAGTTCATTTCAATGATTCTTACTTCAGTAAATTCAGATATCCAACCTGCATCTCTTATACATTAACTGGAGATTTTAAAAAAGACCTCATCTGGATGCAACTCAAAATATCAATGTGGATTAAGAGTGTGTTATGGGGACAAGGAGAACAGATCTACATCTGCATCATTCCACCTGAAAATATTTACAGTACTGACTAGCAGAAACAGACCACCTACTGAGAAATCCACCAAGGCAGCTTAAGTATCAGTGCTAGGGTCCAAACACCATGGCCTCTCAAAGCTTTTCTTTACCATGCCTTCAGAGTGACACTCACACATAAATAAAGAAAGCTGTGAGCCAATTTGGTTATATAACACTCTTTAAATGCACTGTTAGTTAAAAAGAAAAACAAATCCCTCATTCAGGCACAACTTATTTTCCAATAAATAGAAAATCTGATATAGAATTGTTTGACAGTGTTTCTCAACATGTTATATTAATTTTAAATCTAGTCGTAAGTAGTATGCGTGCTACTCGGATCTATTTCTTCCATCACTCCAGGGCATCCAATCTATTGTACTGAAAGTTTAAATGTACAGTACACAGCTATATAGCCAGTCAGAATAACATTTAATTAAGGATAGCATTTACATTTCAAGGCTTGTGTTAGAAAATGTGAACAAGAGGACGCAAGTGGGAGCCAACTCGTTATCCAAAAGTGTGGAACAAGCTTCCCAGCTGGACCTGATGCCCCCATTGCAGAAAAGGCCCAATGTTTAATTGCTAGTAGCTAACACAATCTATATGGCCTCCCGGTGCTCATAACCTTTTCTTAAGACTGAGTTTATAATGGAACATGCAAGCCTTCTGATAGATTTACAATAGTAAGCACAGCGGTTGCTTTACTATCCATTTTCTAAACATGTCTAAACAACCATACATTATCCAATGCAGGGTCATGGGGGAGCCAGCGACTAACCCAGCCAGTAACAGGCAGAAGGCAGGGTACTCGCTGGATAGGACACCAGTCCATCGCAGGGCACAGATACCCACTCACTCTAGGGACAATTTTCCCAGAAGCCAACTAATCTACCAGTATGTCTTCGGACTTCGGGAGAAAGCCCAAACAAACATGGGGAGAACATAAAATCTCCCTGCAGATAGCACCCCAGGTCTGGAATTGAACCCAGGGCCCTAGCGCTGCCACCATGCTACCCTAGTTACTTTACCATGCCAGGTAAATTTGGGCTTCTTGCTTGTCTGCAGTGGGCTTGATCCTGCCCTCCAACACCCCATTATTATATAGTACATCTTCACTTCCCAGGCACAGAGTTTACACATTGACCTTTGCACCTCAAATGGCTAAAAGCAAACACCTTGGAAGAATAAAATTCATTTCATTTTAATTTGAATAATAATGACTTGTTTTTTTTACTTGTCGCTCCCAAGAAAGGCACAACGGACTTTGGTTTATTAAGCACACAGTGTGAAGTGCCTGCAGCACACAGACTCAATAACAGTTAAATTATACCTTTTACACATTGGTAGTTGGTTATGATTCTTTCAAGCAGCATTCAAAAATAAATTTAAACATATTAGTTTCAAAAAGCAAAAAAAGAAACTACCTCTGAAACCTTTGTTTACCCAGACATACTGATGGCACCATTAATGGAGGATCATTGACTACAATTAGGTTATTCTAGCTGTCTGCCTCAGGCAATGGGGTTGAATTTCACTTTGCATCTTCTTGAGCAGAAGAAACCCGTCAGTAAGGATCCTAATTATAAGCTACAGTTTGTACATACTTCAGACAGCCCTCAACCAAGTGTCCAGACACTGAGAAACAGCAGTGTTAGGCTGCATCGGCTACAGACTTGAAACAGAACCATGTACTTTTTCATGACAGACAAAACCCAGTTTCTTTAGGGCAGCCTTTCTGAATTCCATTTTTCCCGGTAGCCATAATCATTCCGAGGTTTTTCTTTAATCTTTAAACTTGGAATTTCCAGTTATTAATAAATCCTCCTCACTGCTAATGCCCTGGTATCCGCATTTGAGGGAGTGATGACGTGGGGCTTTGATTTGAAATGTGATAATAGATGTTATTTACTCTACACCTATGCACACTGGCTTTGTTAAGAGTACAGGCAGCATTTTCCACACCACAAGAGACCCAGAAAAACACTCTGGCTCAGTGTCACCAGGTACCTCAGCACGTCACAGGAATTCTGCCACAAGCACACTCAAGCCCACTTAACCCAACTGGCTGTCACGCAAATGTGCTGCTCAGGAAGTCTTGGTCACAGTCCGCTCATGGCAGCACCTATGACTTCATGGCGGCTTTTGGAGCCTTCTAGCTTCTACCCAATGCAAGACAGACACCAAGGCCTGAGTCTGTAATTAGCTACTGGCTGATGGGTTTTTACTTCATTCTGGCCTTAGACAGAATAACTACCACATACCAAAACCTTAAAACATAAAATTTTATTTTATGGTCCTTAATGGAAATCATTCCAGACTTAAACAGAAAATCTGGCAAACACAATCCTGAACTGCCAGAGATCTAATGGTTCAAGGCTTCACACATACAGAGAAATGTATTAAGCATACAAACTTATTAGGCTTTCAAACAAGAATATGTCGATGTATATGAATAGCAAGAATGTTTTTTTTAAAGGTTTAAATGGCCACAAGAACTCCTGGACAAAGGCTCTTGAAATTTCATAGGACTGTAGAGGCCTATGGGTTGTGTCAGAGTTTCACTGGGGTTGTCCACCATTTTGGATTTGTATAAAATTGCTGAATTGTCATAGATAGAACACTTTAAAAATCAATTGTTTTTTTTTAACCCAATTAAGGTAGAGATACGAAAGACAATCTCAGCCTCCGTGAGCCAGTGAAGTGCCTGATATCATAACATTCTGTATTGCTAACTGCTCCTCTCACACACAAACCTTGGAAACAGACTGGGCATCATTTTCGTTACAGTGCAATTACTATGTAGTGAAATAGTGCAACTGCCTAAGCTGAGGAGGTTACCTGACTGCTAATGAGTTCTGAAAGCACTGCTGTCTTATGGGCTGCTGTACAAATTAACCCAAAATCTTGCATGTTTCATAGCATTAACATCTGTTTCAGATATGCACCTCACATGTTGCAGTGATGCCTTGTACACACGTAATGGGTCATAACCTGCTTGGCTAAATGCTCACCATACCGCTAACTGCTCTTCTTGAATAATGACTTAACCAATTAAATCCAAACTCGATATGCATAATCGAAGTGACAATGCCGTTACAACATGTCAAAATCAGACTGTGACAAACACAAGGATGGCCAACTGGTTGCTATTCTGTTTTCTGGTGGACATGTACCACAGATCAAACTGCTCCTGCAGAAACAACACTTATTTTATGAGAGCTGGACCTACAGGAAAAAAGCATCTGACTGATTCATTCTAAGACTGGTGTTATTAAAGCTACAACAAAACTACATTACAAAGAAATGGGATTTTGCTGCAAACCAAGACCTTTTTTCTGTTGTCAACATGTGGGCAATATTGCAAACTGCTACTTTACTACAGTATTTCATGACCGTGGAACTTGCTCAGAAGTCTTTGAAACTGCATTTGGTTTTCAATTTTGGTTTCTGAATTCGTGGTGCAGAACATTAAGTTACTGTATCAGCGGGGCAGTATTCTCCAGAAACAGACTGACAGCTTTGATAGATGAATGAAATGAACTTAGTGCTTGG